CCCATGGGGCGGATAATACCCGCCTAACTGGGTACATGGGGTGTGTATGGAATGAGGGTCATTGCCTCAAAACGGGTATGGGAAACATAGTCCCCGCCTCATTTAATATTAATTTCAAATTTAAGTTTTTATCAAACAAAAATAATAAATTTATCATTCTTTTTAAAGAGAATACAAGTTGTGTTTAACAAATTGGTAAAAAGTAATATCATTAACTAACTAAAGACATAAAAAATAAAAGCAAATAAATAAATAAATAAATCGGGCAGGAGACTTGCCCTGTCCGTCCCGCTTTAACCGGGTATGGGGTAAGATAACAAAAATACTCGACGGAACAGTGGTGGGAATGGCCGACTCGTCCTATACTCGCTCAGTTGCCATCCCTGCTGTCATTGCAAAATATCGAAATTATGGATGAGTAGAGCTCGAAGTTTGTTCAGATGAATAGCTATGAATTTTAAACACAATTTACTTTCAACTTTTACGATCATGACGTAATTAGACAGCATATTTACCAAGAAACATAAGGTGCAACAAATTTCAACGTTCCCATTAGATTGTGATGTTGAGTTTAATAATGAAACTAATAAACTGGTTAATATTGAAACTAAACTTATGTTTGGGCAACCCAATGAGTTTTCACTAAAAGTTGAGTGACCAAAAACGAAAATTAACCCAAATTTATTTACACAATTGTTGTTGCTTTCAAATTGTAATGTATCCTAACTAATTCTCCCATTTACATGCTGGGATTTCATTGTAAATCACTACATCAAAAATTTAGAGAGAGATGAGGGAGTTGTATAGAAGAAGTCATCCATGCATTACACTTTTTGTTTTAACTTCCTTAGCCATAGTTTTTGTGTCTCTAATAACAAATTATGGTTCCAATACTTTTTCTTTACTTTCTCTTCCATCTTCACCATGGACATGGACATCGACAGTCATATCCTCCTCTTCATCTTCTCCGACCCATTCTTCCAAAACGGCGTTGTATCCCACGTTCTCCGTAAATCTCCCTATCCCTTTTCCAAATCACTTCTTTCCCTTTTTTAAAATTTTGTTTTTAATTTTTATTCTCCTTTTTGCAGAATCCAAAGATGCAGAGGGTAGTAGAGAACCTTATAAAGGAATTGAATGTTGAAAGCATGTTGAGAAGTGGGAAAAAAAGGGATGAGAAAATGGAGAAAATTGAAAGTGACCTTGTTAGAGTGAGAGAACTGATTAAAGAAGCCATTGTGAATAGTAGAAATTCGACTCTATTTGTTGAAGATGAAGATTACGTTCCAAAAGGCCAAATCTATAGGAATCCATACGTTTTTCAAAGGTATTTTTTTTTTTTTTTTAAAGATCACAAATTGATAATTATGTTGTGTTTAATTGTCATCTCGTTTTTATATTATCTAGTTGAGCATCCTTGGAGTTTCAACATGTTTTTCCCTAAGATATGTACCGGAATATGTTTACTACGTTGATCATCGAAAATTAAATCGTGAATTGGTCGTCTTTCTTGAAAGAAAAAAATAAAAAAAAAGTATTAGTCATTACATGGCTTATGATTGTAAACTATTTATAACCACTCAAGAAGCCATTTTTATCTAATTATAATTGTAAAAAATAATTATATTTGTAGTTTAGGTTTCATCGGACTTCTTGTTTTTTGGGGCTGAATTTACGTACAATGAAATAGATATTACCGTTTATGATTCCGACATAAACCCACATAGCATTTGGCTTTAATGTGTGTGTTTTTATGGTTATCATTTGTTTAATGTCATTTTCATAACCCACATGCATTTTAGGGAAATTATTGTTTATTATTTGTTATTTGTTTAAGAATCTAAGATATATGCCTTAAGTGACTCTTAGTTATTAGTTTCAATAAACATAGTTTGATTTTTTCAAGAACACATTGATTACCATCACATGATGTTTCATTGAATGCATCGCTTAATTAATTAATTTGTTCATACATACATAATTTTTCCATTTTTTATTTTTTTTATTTATGACATTATTTTATTAATAATTCACTTTCATTAATTTAGTCCATTTATTAAAATTATCAAAAACTCAAACCATACGCACCTCTTGTTTTAGACATTTGAGGAAATAATTGAGCTTACCGAAACCCAACTCTTGAGTTTCATAAAGATGTGTTGACATTGGACAAAATTCTAGAGTCTATTTGTTATGATGCTTGGTTAGCACTGTTAGACCATACTCAATGGTACAATGTACAAGATTTTGGCTTCTATCCCTTTCTTTTTTTTTCCTTTTTTTTTTTTTTTTTTTTTTTTTCATTTTTTTCAAATGCCAACATGATAAAGAACTATAAACTTGATTGCATCTAAACGACCTAACACAACTGAGATTCGATATCAATAGAATTTGTCTTGTACTCAAATGTCTATATTAGGACCTTGTTTGACAACTTGGACCCAATTCATGAAGTGGCTAAAAAGTGGATAGTTGTAAGTCCAAAAAAAATGTGCGATTAAAAATGAAGTTTAATTAATTTATAATCTTAGAAAGGCGTTGTCAATCAAGAGCTAGATATATTGTCATACTTGGCTTGAAATTCCTCTTGTTCAAAGTTGAAATCCCACTTGTTCAAAGTCACATTCAAAAATGAATGGTAAAATATGTGATTTAGAAATATGAGCAGTTGGCTCACACTAATTTAAAGCATGTTCAAAAGGCTCTATTTATAAACAGCATCTTATGCATAATAAATAGAGAGTATATTTAAATTTAGAAAGTAAATTTTTTATATGCTCTAATAATGTTTTCTATTTTGACTCTTTATTATATTTTTTTAATGAAGATTCATTGATTTCTCCTCATCACTTATTTAACATATTTTTTTTATATGTTAAGGGCAATCAATTGAAATGTGATTTGAATAATTTAAATTGTAGAATTTTGAAAATTTTAATTTATTAAATGAAATCACTGTTAAATTAAGAATAAAGACTGGGTTTGGCTCTCCAAAAATCATTTTTTTTTGTGAATAAATAAAATAAAATAGAGAGTCTGTTCGAGACGTTCTTAGCGTATGGATCTCTTTACATAAAAGCTTTTTTTCCTTTTATGTTCCTCAATGGCCTAGCAATTATTCAATCAGCCGTAAAGTCTTATGAGTAGTCTGTCATGAAAACTATTAAATGGTTTAGGAAAAATACGGTCGCAAAATTTTTCTCAACTGAATTTCCAATCTACCAATCTTAACAGTTTAAAACTCAAAACTCTTGGATTTTATCATGTATGCAGGAGTTACTTGCTAATGGAAAGACTGTTCAAGATATTTGTCTATGAAGAAGGAGAACCCCCTTTGTTTCACTATGGTCCTTGCAAAAACATTTACTCCACAGAAGGGATTTTTCTCAACATGATCGAATTGAGTACCAAGTTTCGAACTCATGATCCTGATCAAGCTCACCTGTTTTTTCTTCCCTTTAGTGTGGTAATGATTCTTGAACACCTTTTCGATCCTATTATACGCGACAAGGCTGTTCTTGAACGTGTTGTAGGCGATTATGTTCGTATGGTATCTGCTAAGTATCCCTACTGGAATAGAAGCCTCGGAGCCGATCATTTCATGCTCTCATGCCACGATTGGGTATGCATATTCGATATTCTTGACTCATAGAAATATCATTTCCTCTACAAGGATCCACTGTAACCAGATCGTTAATTTCATGGCGTTCTTCTTTCTTTTTTGACATGTTTGGTACGCTAATGAATGACAATTTTTGTCATATTGCCTATATCTTTATTGATTTCCTTCAAATGTATATGAAGTCCTAATGATCAAATATGTAATGCAGGGGCCAAGAGCTACATGGTATGTCCATCAATTGTACTTCACTTCAATTAGAGCATTATGCAATGCCAATACCTCAGAATTCTTCAATCCAAGAAAAGATGTTTCATTTCCAGAAATAAATTTTAAGACAGGAAATATTACAGCAGGTCTAATTATAGAACACCCCTCTTCCTTCAATCGCACGATTCTAGCATTTTTTGCAGGCCGACTGCACGGACGAATCCGTCCCACGCTTTTCGAGCACTGGAAGGACAAAGATGAGGCTATCAGAGTATATGAAAAAGTCCCAGAAAGTTTATCTTATCAAGAACTCATGAAAAACAGCAAGTATTGCCTATGTCCAAGTGGTTTTGAAGTTGCCAGTCCAAGAATTGTTGAAGCAATTTATGCAGAATGTGTGCCTGTCTTGATTTCTCAAGATTACATACTGCCATTTAGTGATGTTCTTGATTGGACCAAATTTTCCATTCAAATTTCAGTTGGTGAATTGCCAAACTTGAAAAGGATTCTGATGGGAATAAATGATGACAAATACAGAAGAATTCATGAAAGTGTGAAACAAGTGAAAAGGCATTTTGTGGTAAATGATCCTCCAAAGAGATACGATGTGTTTCATATGTTGATTCACTCTCTTTGGCTTAGAAGGTTGAATGTTAGAATCTACGGATAATTTATTATTATTTTTTTGTCGTGCAGAGTTCCAAGCTACTCATAGCTTAAAGCTAGCAATCTTATAAATTATAATCTTGAGTCTACAGGAAAGTTATGTCACTTTTGGGAATGAGTACAGCAAGACGAAATGAAAAATAGTTCTATTTTTAAGATTTTTCTTAGACGGAAAAGTAAGTTCATTAATCAATATTTCATAACTGAAAAAATAGTTATTAGACCTGACCCATGCATCCACTTGAGTGAGGTAAGGTCTCGGGTTACTGATCGGACTAGTAGGTCAGTTAAGTATCCAGCTGACTTTCCATTGTAAATTATTTATAGCAATCACACATGTGATTTTCAGATGAGTTGAATAGAAATAATTCTTCCCTCCAAACTCGTCCATTCTCTCTCTTTTGCACTTGAAGTTAATAAAGTTTTAGCTTCATTAGGAGAGTTTAAAGGGTAAATTTTTCGACTAACGTAAAATGAAAGATTAAGGATGTAAATGCTACATTTTGAAAACTGGGCACCAATGTGTAACAATGCGTCGAAGTTTGGGAGACCCCAGCTATTAATCTCCCTAGAATCTATTTTCTACTTCTCGCTTCTTCTGGAACTCCCGTCCCCTCTTCTCCCCTCTCCCGATCAAGCTGAAACTTTCTCTTCAATGGCGTTTGCTCAGTACTTGCTAGCATTTCCTGCTGAAACGTCAAAGGTCCATTCAAACTCTACTCCCCTTCTAAGCCCACCACTTCTTCCTTCTACTTGTTTATTTTCTCTACCCATATCTTCTTCTTCGTGGAAGCTTAAACGACGCAGCCTTTCCATTTCCCCCCAGCTTTTAAGAACCACCCGACAAGGTATATTCATATCTAGGATTGTTTAAAGTAATGTTGGAGGATAGCCGTTTTTATAAAATGGAGTTCTTCAATTTAGGGGGCCCGATTTTTTCACCCAAAAATTGATTTTTTGACAGTTATTTTACTATTTCAGTCATTATATTTGACTTCTTCTTTCACAGGTGGACCCCACTTTTCTCCTAACGGTCAAAAAATCAATTCTCAAAATCGGCTCTTAATCATACATTTGCATTTTACGACTGCTTTCGTATTCTTATGCTCTTTAGTATGGTGAATTTGATCATTTGCTCAATCAGAGTCTTCTATAACTTTGAATATTCTGTACAGTTGCTTGCCTTCCATTCTCTGATTTCATGTGATTTTTGTACCTTTACTTGAGTTTCTGAATGCAATGTAAATTGTTGACGTTATGTTTGAGTGGATTTGTTAATTGGGTTCTTCAACTTACAATAAATTTGTGAATTACGATGGAATCAGTATATGATTTTGTTCTGTTGTTATAGCAAATTTGCTTCTTTGGTCAATCAGGGGCTTCAATTAAATTTGAATATTCTGTCTATGTACCAATACTTGTCTTTCATTCTTTGTTTTCGTCTGATTTTTGTATCTTTCTTTGAGTTTCTCCATGCAATGTTAACTTGTTTGCACCAGTCCTCACTATGGACTAGATTCCCTCCAAGCTTCAAAGAACCACATGCCCTGGTAATTTGAATTTGGCTCGTACTATTCTTACTCAATGGACTTTTCAATTTACTGGTACATTTTCAGTCAGTTGGTGTTATTTGAATGCGTGTGCTTTAGTTTCTGAATGCAATTTTAAATTGTTAGTGCCAGGCTTGACTATGGACTTGATTTTTTCTTTATTGTTGTACCAATTAGTTAGTTCAAATACCTACTTCATGTTGTATCTAGAAATTGTTGAAGTCTGCCAAGTTATGCCTGAAGACAACGGTGTTAACAAGACATGGCTGGTAATCAAGTAGTAGAACAAACTTACTTTGTTGCATTTTGTCAATTTCTACCACTATTTTATAACATCCTCTCCCTTCACTTTGTTTCCGAATACATTTTTAAATCCATTATACCTTTAAATTCCTACATAGAAGTGGGTGAGCATGAATGATTGATTAAGAATTATTACTTAACATTGCGTTGGTGAGTGTAATGCATGTAGAAAATGTAACATTACCGGATAGACATGCTCTAGATAGTCTATACAATATATCATAACGAATTATGCAAGAATAAGTGCATACCCTGTTCCTCGATCAATTGTCATCCTTGCAAGACTAAAAGATACATTTGTATGGGTTGCTATCACAAACTAAAAAATCTCCAACAATGCTCTTTATATTAAAGAGCAAAATCCAATATAAAATCTCGAAGATATTCAAAAATAAAGATTGAGACTTTTTATACAAGTCCAACTACTCACTTTTATGTTTATGTTATTTTTCTTTTTCCCTTTAGCAATTATGGATCAACACTTTGATTCCTTATTTTTACTTGGTTGCGCAAAGTGAATGGAAAGTTGTGAAATAATAAATGAAATGATTAAAAGTATTATACGAAGAGTAGGTCTGATTCTCTACATTAGACTCGATCCACTTTTTATCTTAATATTCTAATACAAAGAGTTTGTTGAACCCTTTAAGAAGAAAATTCACTATCTAAATAGAGTATATGGTTAATAAACCATCTTCTTTATTTTATAGAGTTAAACCTTTCATTAGAAATTCAACAAACTCAGTATATCAAAAATTAAAAATAGACTGGATCTGACTTTCCAAATATAGAGTCCAAAACTTACTTTCTATATAATACTTTTAGTAATTTCATTTATTATTTCACAACTTTCCACGCACTTCTTCCAAAATATTAGGAAAATGATAAAATTAAAATGAAGCAAGTCAGTTAAAAAGGAAGGGAAATGTTGAGTCATAATTTGCTTGTTGAAACAAACAAAATAAAGATTAAATGTAAAATGTGTTGTTGGACTTGTGTAGAAAGTTCCACTCTTAATTTTTTTTCTTCAAAATGCACTTTATATTGCAAAGATGCTCTTTAAAATACTAAGTATTATTGGTGATGCCCTAAGCCTTGAAAAATAGAATCTCTATCGCAAGAACATTTTGGTAGACACTTCAACTTTGAAGGCATGCTTGTTGGGTGTGCAGATCAAGCACATTCTGATACCACTTTATGCCTTTCCATAGGAAATGTCTTGCTGCTTGTTCAGTTTTCCTAGCTTATCAGAATCTTGAACAAAACAAAATAGTACGAATTTATGCCAGGAAGCAATGACTTGATCAAAGTTATGCTGTGTAAATTCAAATCTATTCCTATCCCACCATTTTATCTTTTAACAATCTCTCAGTCACTGGATCCCAAAAGGAAGTCACCCTAGGGTTGCCTCCTAATGGAATGCCTAAATAAGTTATAGGATCTTGCAACCTGCAACCTACAACCTGCAATAGACGCAGAATTAAGATGCACTGATGATATATATGAATGCAAATCCTCGTCTCCAGTTATATTTTAAAATTTTAAGCAATTTCTAAATCTTGTTAGTACCATACATTCTTAAAACAACTATCTTCCTCAGGTAGGAAAAGAATAGTATCCTAAGCAAACTGAAGATGTGGTATTAAAACGTATGCTCTCGTGTACACCTCTTAACAACACATTCTTTGCCCTCTATGAAGCATCTTACTGAAACATTAATCAACAAAGTGAACAATAATGGTGAATGAGGATCATCTTATATGAGATACCCAAATATCATGATTTAAAATGCTAAACCATCTTAACAATTCCACATTTTTGCCCTCCGTGCTGAAAAATCTGACAGGAAAAGCCTGGAATTCTGGGACTTGAAGACACATAATGATGTTTCTTCTTTCGGAAAGGGTATTTTGCCCTAACCAATTCTAATTCTTTTTCTTAAAATTATTTTTCAACACTTGAACTGCTTCCCATGATAAAATGCCCAAATCAATTTTATTTAAGTGCCATTCTTGCATGAACAAAGTTAATTTCAATGGTGATAAACAAGTGCTTCTTGATTACTAAGTAGAAAAATAACTTTGATGTGAAGTCATAGATAGAAGACTGAGACGGTTCTTTATTAAGCCATAATGCTGAAATTAGTTTCTATTTGGTGTAGCTAAAAATTAGGTTTTTAGTAGATTTTAACAAAAGATGATGAAATACGTAGTTAAAAGGTTAATAAAAGTTGTCGATTCCATGAAATGTGTTGTTAAAATTAATTTTTGATTTTAACTTAGATTTTTATCAAGATTTTTAGCTACACGAAATAGGGGCTTAATAGAATTACGAGTTTCTTTCATATATGAAAGACACGTGTTTTGGTAGTTGATCATTTGGCTAAGCAATCTAATTGTTGTAAATAGTTATAAGCTGTCACTTAAAAGTATATCAATAAAAGTATATCCACCAATCCATATGATATTGATCATAGCAGTTAAAATAAAATGACGGTCTTAATGACAATATGACAAGCTTGGATGGTCTTCAATGCCCATGTGCGATCAATTCGCCTTTAGTGCACTGCTTCTAATGTCCTGTTTATGCAAGTGGGTTAGTAGTATTTGAGTTTCACCAACATCTCATCTCACTGATAGATCCCTATTTGGTTCACGTGGATGCTGCCACGTCATTTATTAGTCTAGAATGTTCATTAGTCGGTTAGAGCGAAACTCTATAAATAAGATGGGGAGGGGAATTAGATGGGCATTGAGTGAATTGTTTGGAAAAGTGGGGAGAGATCAAGCCTCTCAAATAGCTTGAAAATTGTCATTTATAGTCTGTTATTCAATCAAATTAACATTCAGTTACACTTTGCCATCTAGCTTACATAATTCCGTTTCACTTATCAATACAAATCTATAGCTTCATGGGTCTAAAATTTTGGCAGCAACAATAGCAGATTCCTCAGCAACTTAGATCTTCCAGCAACCAGTTCTAGGAACCTATCATTTTCTTCTTCATCTTCTTCCAAAACCTCTAATCGATCATCTCCTTCTTCCACCTCTACGAGTTCCACTTCTTCCCCATTATCAATAACCAAAAATACTTGCAGCTCAGTATTGTGGCATCTGTGATTTGGTGTGCAATTCTCATCACTAAAAAACACAGTCCCTGTCTCTGTTCATTTGTGGCTCATCAATTAACTTCTTGAATGGAGTAGCCCCTTTATTTGTTGTTGCTTGACAGAAATCGGACCGTGGCTTTGGTGTTGATCGGATTAATTGGATGTGGTATCTCGAGAGCCGGTTTACATGTGTGGACAGGGAAATAAGGGAATTGTGGGCTTGGGTTATCTATATTAATTTTAGATCTAGATGGGCCAAAGTTAAAATGGGCTTGCTTCATCTTATTCACGTCTTAAATCCTTTCGGCCCCTTCCTTTCCTCAGTCCAAATCCATCAAACTCAATAATTCCCCTCCTTTACTCCTCTTGCTTCAATGATTTTACAGAGGCTCCCTCTAAAACCTGCTCCGATCTTTTCACCTCCTCCAGCGGTGGTAATTGTAAGATTTCAAGGTTGCATCTATTTACCCAGATTTCATCAAATTGAGGTGGCAATTTAGACGCATGGGTGGTTTTTGGCAAAGTAGTGACCAGTCCGTTCCCCTTCTTTTTACTTTCCTCCTCAGGTGCTGACGGTTCTATCTCTGGCTTTCCATTCTCCGTCTTCTAGTTCAACCCATCACACTACTTTCAACCTAAAAATTCATCACCAACAAAGACCTTACTCGTGCTAAATCGATTCGACATCAATTTTTTTAGTTCTCCCCAAGTGTGCACGGGTCTTCAACGATCTAGCCATTGGAACCATTCCCAAGCTTCACCATCCCAATATGCCGTAGTGGCTTCCACCTTTTCCCTCTTTGACAATCAATTCCTTTTGAAAATTTCTTCAGCTTTCCCTATGGACAAATCTGGATTGCCATCATAGAATATCGATATCTTGAGACAGCCAAGCGGATCCAATCCAAAATCAAGTGCTCGATCTCCCATCCGTAGCATCATGAGTTCAAATCAATTGAATATGGATCTCCATTTCTCCTCCAATACCTTACTGAAATTTGTTTCCATCCTCCCTAGAATCGAGTGCTTTGATACCAATTTATAGGTTCCTGGAACTGGTTGTTGGAAAATCTAAATTGCTAAAGAATTTGCTGTCGTTGCTGCCAAGATTCTGGGCTCGTGAAGCTATAGATTTGTACTGATGAAGTGAAATGGAAATATGTAAGCTAGATGGTAAAGTGTAACTGAATGTTAATTTGATTGAATAACAGAATGTAAATGACAATTTTTAGGCTATTCGAGAGGCCTGATTTTTCCCCACTATTTTAAACAATTTACTCAATGCCCATCTAATTTCGCTCCCCATCTTATTTATCGAGTTTCGCTCTAACTGAATAATGAACATTCTAGAATAACAAATGACATGGGAGCATCCATGTGAACCAGATAAGGATCTATCACTCACCTTCACTGTACAATACACGAGTAGCCAAACTCAAATTCTTGTCTAATTTATTTTCACATTAATGTAAGAATCTCACTATTCCATATCTTTCATCTCTCTTTAATATATTTCACAAAACTTACCCATTTTGAAACTGGACTTGATTCCCCTATATGGGTATCAACTAATGATGAGAGATCCTCGTATCCCTAATCTAAATGGTATAGATCCTCAATTCGCTGCATCAAGTTCAATAGGAAATTGGTCAGAATCAGGTTTATACATCCTTCTGGAAAATACTTCCATTCATTTAAAAAAAGGATGTGATGAATTCATATCTCCATAAAGTGGTTGCCTGTCACTAATATGGACCATATGAACTAATTAGAATGATCACTCCTCTTGTATATGAACTTATTAGAAAGATGACCCCTCCTAAAGATGCATTCCGTAATATAATCTCCAATTATTACTGTAACTTGTTTGCCCCCAAGCTTCTCATCTCGAGCTCTCATTCTAATCGCATTTTACTACCATCCCTCACAGCATAGTAGTAGACTTGAAGATGTCGTGAAGGAATCCAAGGTGAATTTGACTCCTATTTCATCCCGAATTCTCCATTATTGGTTTTACCTATTATATTGGTTTCACCTTATATTAAAACTTTTCGTGTATTAATTCTCCTAATATGTTAGGAATTATTTGGTTATAAATATATGGTGTACAACACATATTGGAATTAACCAATTGTCCAATTAGTTATTGGTCCAAAGAGATCCTTTGTACTATTGATTATAGTAAATTCTTTGCCTCTGCCTCTGCCTCTGCCTCTGCTTGTGGTTTTCTCGAATTTGGATTTTCACGTAAATCTTGTTTTCTTTGTGATCCACTATTTTCATATTGTCCATATTTTCTAGTTCTTTAATTATTTGACCGGATTCTCAACAATTGATATAAGAGCTTTTTGGCGTTGAAATCCTTGAGAAGATCAAGGATTTGATCAAGTTAATACCACAACTTGACCTTTCGTGATGGCAACAATGAAGTATGATATTTTGCTATTAGATCGCAATACAAGAATCTCTTTGTGCAAGTAAAGATGCGAGCAGTACTTGTTCGGATTCAAACAACGCGTTGTTAAGATTTGACAAAATGTCCACAACTTGGACTATGCAGTAAAAAAAACGAAGAGATCGAAAAGCCATTTCTCAAATGCATCTTCATCTTTCAAATAATATTCTTCAGGACATTTTGAAAGATAAGTCGGCCATTGCATTATGATTAAAATTGGAGCAATTATGGATGATGAAGAGTCTTACTAACAAATTGCATCTAAGCAATATCTATATGCTCATCGTAGTATATATGACATTACCAACGGGTTTTAGCAAAACAGATGAAAAGGATTAAGTATGCAAACTCAAGAAATCTCTATATGGGCCCAAATAGTCACCAAGAGTATGGTTTGACAGTTTGCAAAGATACTGAAAAGGCAGTCAGATCACACTATGCTTCTCCAACAATTTGAAGATAGGTCTAAAACAATCTTAATTGTATATGTTGATATAATTTTGACAAGAGACAACATAGTGGAAATGGAAATGCTAAAGAAAAGTTTAGCGATGAAGTTTGAAGTAAAAGATTTGGAACAAATGCGATATTTCTTAGGAATGAAAGCTGCTAAATCAAAAATGGGCATCAAAATCTCATAAAAAATACGTTCTAGACCTCCTCATCAAAATTGGAATGCTCTGATGTAAACCAAGTGATATACCTATTGATGTGGGAAAGAAAATTGATGAGACTGAAATCCAGTCGAAAGATAGAAACTAGCAACTTGTGGGCAGACTAATCTACCAGTCGCACGCTGGACCTGACATTGCATTTGCAATAAGTATAGTAAGTCAATATATACACTCTCCAAATGAAATTCATCTAGAAGCGGTTTACAAGATACTCAGATATCTAAAGAGCTCGTTGGGAAAAGGACTATTCTTCAAGAAAGAGTGAAAGGAAAGATGTGGAAGCCTTCAAAGACGCAAATTGGGCACGATCAACAGAAGATAGAAGATTGACTATCGGATACTATATCTTTGTATGGGGAATTTTGGTAACTTGGAGGAGCTATAAACAAAATGTTGTAGTTAAAAATAGCGCTGAAGCTTAATTTAGATCGGTAGCACAAGGGATATGTGAAAGACTATGGTTAAAAAAACTCCTAGAAGAACCACCAGGTTGCAGTGAAATTTCCAATCAAACAATATTGTGATAATAAACTTGTTATCAACATCTCTCTCAACTTATTTCAAAATTAGCAAACTAAGCATATAGATGTAGACAGCATTTCATTAAAGAAAAGGTTGAAGATGGGACTATTTGCATGACATATGTTCCTACACAAGAACAAATTGTGGACATCTTCACCAAAGGACTACCTCACCAGAAATTTGATGATTTAATCTACACGTTTGATAAAATTAACATTTACAATCCAACTTGATGGGGAGTGTTGAAATCCCAAGAATATTACAAAAATATGTGATTGGAGATCCTGCGTTTATTAGCTTTGTATACTTAGGAAAACTATAATTAAGGGATTGATTGGTAGATATTTAGAAAGATTTAGGAAGATTGTTTTTCCCTTTTAAAAAGGATGCCATTGAGTTGTAATTTATTTATGAAAAAACAGAAATCTTTTCCAGTTTTTCCAGTTTTCTTCTTCACTAAATCATCATGGAATATAACTTGGTCGATTAATGGAAAGCTATACAAGGAATCCCTAAAAATTCATGAAGTCATCTTATTCTGATCTCAATCACAGGGCCTCAGCTAAGCCTCCCTTATTGCTTTCCCTAATTCTTCCATGAATATAAAACTCAAAGTTTCTTGTGTCAGGGTTCCAGGGCTGGAAGCAAAATGATTTTATAGCAGCATTCTGTGATCTTTACGAGTTTTCATCAGTAACTAAATCATTATGATCTTATGTTACATCTTTATTTTACTCCTGCAGTAGCTAGTCTCTATTCAAATGTATCAATGTTTGGGTGCTGAATGTTAGTTGATTCTTTTAGTGAAGTCTAAGCCAGGAGAAGCTGAACTCAGCCCTGCTGTAGATGCCTTTACTCAGTTTAAGCATCTGCTTCTGCCAGTTACAGATGGCAACCCTTACCTATCAGAGGGTACAAAGCAGGTTTTCTCCTCTCTTTTCCTTTTAAATTTTTGTTTCTTTGATAATGTGCTCCTATTGTGTGGGCAATTTAACTCTCGAGTATTGGGCGAGTATCTTCCTTAATAAGACACAAAGAAATAGCATTTATTTCTTCTGTTGACAACAAATACTGCTCATATTGTCAGTTACAATGCCTTGGGTATGTTTCTGGTTTTCTTGTTGATGTACAATAGCTTTTGCTGGGCCTTAAGCGTGACTGGTTCATGGCTTCATGTTATTGCTTTGTGCTGTACTTATTTAATCTTATGAATAATTGTTTGATAGGCCATGGCAACTACTGCTGCTTTGGCGAAGAAATATGAGGCTGACATAACAGTTTTGGGTATTCTTTTTAATCTTTGTCATATTTGTTATATGCAATATACTGTTGAAAATTAAGCATTGATGATAACCATATTACAGATATTTTTAACATAAAACATCCATTAGAGTAGATTCTTATGTTTTTTACAGTTATCAATGAAAAGGAAAAGGAATCATTACCAGAGCATGATACTCAACTAGCTAGCATCCGGTGGCATTTATCTGAAGGTTAGTTTGTGAAAACATTTGTTTACTTTATATATAATGAGGTACAAGTGACGTGTCAGGATTAAGGATTAAGCCATGGTCTCAATCTTAACAAGACGAAAAAATGAAAAAACAGAAATGCTCATGTGAAAGGCATATATAGTGCTTCGTCCTTAATATGAAAGTCATCTCAGTCGTTACGTATTTTTCAATATAATGAAGATGAAACACTTCTTTATCTTTCCACAATCATATTTTTATTTATAAAGTAGCAATATACCGTCACTAGGTTGATCATGCGGTCAAGGGGACAAGTGAACTGTATAATGAGGCTTCACATATTTCAACAGGACATAACATTAAACCAGTAAACCGTAGAAAAATATCATGAAATTGCATTGTCATCATTGAATAAACTGATTAAATTAATTATTTCATTTCGACTCACCAAAATGCTTCGATAATGTGGTTAGGTGGCTACCAAGATTTCAAACTTTTAGAGAGACTTGGGGAAGGGAATAAACCAACAGCTATTATTGGAGAGGTTGCTGATGATATGAATTTAGATTTGGTTGTTATGAGTATGGAAGCCATTCATTCCAAACATGTGGATGCAAACTTACTGGCTGAGTTCATTCCCTGCCCTGTATTGCTTTTGCCACTGTGAACCTTGATTTTACTCTCAGACCTTGTGGGATTATCACCAAATATTTGTTATTTCTCTCTTAAAATTTCTGCGAAGTGTGACCTTGGTTGAATAGGATAATATCAACTTTCTGTTAATTGGACGCCTTTCCATTAGTAATTTGTGGTTGACATTATGAGTTATGATTTGAAAATTAGCAATAATAACCTTAAGTTTCATGATCATACAAGATGTCAAAATTTGTGTACTTGATCATTCTAGGATAGTAAGCGAAAATTTGTGACGTGATCAAAATTATGTTGTTCGCGATTGGCACATAAAGTTGGACGTTTTATGTTGATAAGATTACATTGTTCTTATTGAGGCTTTTCTAGATCATGGGAGTAAGAATAATGATATGTTTGGTACACATTGAATAGGATCGCTTAGAAGATTCATTTGTGATCGCTAGAAATGAAGCACTACTTGATCATTGAACGAGTCATCTAAATCCTGATCTAGTAATATACCTTAAATTGTTAGTTCAATTTCTGTGTTCATCTGGTACTTTGAGAATTGGGGCGAAATAGTTAAGAGATCATGTACTTGCAATAAATGAATTCGTTAATCATTATCATGAGACAATTGTCATTTTGAGGCATTCTCCTTAGACATTTGATCTTGCGTTCAGTAGTCCGATAATGGAATTATTAGAATCTATATTATGATTTATTCACAATAGATTTGCCTTACGAGGGCTATATGGATTTGGTTGCTTCGTCGTTTTATTGAACGAGAAATACAAACTTTCTAATAAAATATCTTTTTATAGTTGCATGATGAGTCCTAAAAATGAAAATTTTAAAATTAAAAGTTACAAATTAATACAGTTAGGTTAAATAAACAGATTGAATTAGTTTTGTAAAGGACCATTATTCTAACTTTTAAGGAAAAAAAATACACTAGTGAACAGGACAATCAATAAAAAAAAATAAAAAAATGAAAATGAGGCTCATTACATAAACCAAAAGCAATTACAAAGGGGATAAGACAGAATTCCCACGTTTTAGTGAAGTATTGCACCTAATAGAGGTAAAGTTAACTATGAAAATTTACACGTAATGTGATAATTGTTGACTCTGTTTTTTTGCAATGACAACGTGGACAATAGATGTCGGGCCCACTCGTGCTTATGTGAACAACTTCCGGCACGTTTTGATCGAAATAACCAATCAAAGGATCTCCGATGACAATGGACATGGGAGATGGTCAATCGTACGAGACGAATACGTTTGAGCATCAATAATATGATTGAAAATAATCATCAATGGACAAATACTCCCAAGCAATCTCATCAAAGTACAAACGATTCAAACTTAAGCAAATAAAATGTGAAAATAAGGGAGGTTTTAAAGAGAATTTTTGCATATCTTGTGTAGTTTTTTCAATCCTTCAAAATGTTACAAGAGTTGTTATTTATAGTGCTCTAGTCGACATGGTGATCGTTAAATCAAAACCACGTGGCCTCATCTCGCTAACCAAACCCCTGCATCACCCCCACCTAACAATAAAGACATTAACAAGGGGTGATTCATCCTCTATGCTAACATTCCTGACGTTAATTAATGCAACATCACATCAATCAATCCTACAGATGCTCTGTAGATCTGTTTTAAAGGCAGCAAGTGCTTTAACATAAAAGGTGGACTTCGGGTGGACAGAGGCTCTGTTGAAAGAGAGAGTACTTTGGCAAGGGGGCTCAGACGAAGCGAGTGTCTCGGCCAATCTTTTTTTTGATTGTTGACTACCAGATGTTTGCATGTAATGCCTCTACCTGGTATCCACTAGAGGCTAGGATACGGGACGTAACAATAGTCTCCCAAGACTATGCATGATCGTTAATGTAGTACATCAACCTTTACATTGTATTGAGACAGAAATTACGAGAATTTTGTGGGGTGATTATTTTTAACCCACAATAATAGTCCACCAAACCTAATTGCAAATATTTATATGAAAATATAATATATGATGAAACATCCGAAGTACTTATCGAGGTCATTTGCCAAAGTTGTACGCTGGACTTCCTGTTTATTCCAATGTTTAAGTAAAACTGAGGACCACTTGACCAATTCTACCAGCCATTCTATGTTAGAGTAATACCGAAGCTGTGAGAGATGAGGTTGATGCAAGGAGTTTCGCCTATTTGACCGAACTTGTAGGCTATAATTCTGAGGAGGTGAGTAAATGGACGAGATAAGCAGGAGGCGTCCTGAATTATTGTGCCCAAATGATTTGCTATTTTTGCACATTTTCAAGGAATGACAATTGAGGCGATTCAATTTTCCATTTACACCACCATCGCCACACGTAATGGGTAGTGATGATTGTTGCAGGCATGTTTCATGCGGTTTAGACGAGCACGTGATGCTGACGCTCTAATTTGAGCTATAGAAAGAGAGTTGGCAAATGACATTCGATCTAATAAGTACCTTGTGTGAGAATTCGCTATGCACTTGGCTACCCACCTCTCATTCTTATTCCTTTGTCAAAGAAAAAAAGAAAAATCAGAAGGTCGTCTATCTAATCGCTAGGTGAATAAGGAGCGAGATGAGTTGGATCAAATTGTGACCTATAAGCTATTTATACTTTTGCTAGGAAAACATTTTCTAAGAGAAATGATAGAGCTAGTTAACATATATAATTTAGAAGAATATGTGAGTGATTTATACAGGCTCCGTTTAGAAAAAACTCAATTGGTTATATGACAGGTAGGTCTTTTTATCGAATAGATTTGTCCGGTAAACTACCAGGAGCTCATGTAGCTCCCTGGTTAGAACATTTAAGAGGTCCAAATGGATTAGACTTGAGTAGATTGGGCCTTCTATTTGATTAGTGAATGGTTCGAATTTATGTTTGAACGAACGGTTGGAGAAATTTAGGTTTGAACGAATGGTTGGATGGTCCGGATCATAATCCAATGGTGGGAGTTGAGTGGCTTTGCCTATAAAAGGCAATAACTTAGGGCAAAAATCACTTTTTCCTTTGTTAACCACGGAATTCGACTCTGTCATTTGTTCATCTTGCTTTCTAACCTTTTCTTCAAACTTTCTTGTGATTTCCAGTCTGTTTCGTTCATTGTCTTTTTGTTTGATCTTCATAAGTATTCTAATCTGTTATAATGATTTATCTAATGGGATCTTCTAAGGGGGATTTAGACATTAGACAAATGGCTTCTGAGATGGGGTAAACATAACTAAAACTGTCGACCTTATCAAAGCCATTATGCTAGTTAAAGCGTATTGGCATCAAGGAAGGGTAGGGTTGACAAGGCGGGTTGAGGGCTACCAAGATACCTTCCATTGTCTCTTCTTTCCACCTGGTTGAGTTGAGAGAAAAATATTGTATCCTATATAGTATCGAAATTCTAGTTCCTTTTCCTGATGAACGAGCCTACTTTACTAGTTTAGGCTACATCGTCATTAGCGAGTTCCTCCTAAAGGCGGGACTTCGTTTGCCTCTTCATCCATTTTTTAGGGCAGTTCTGAGGTTGTATGAACTGGCTCCTACCCAGTTCTTCCCCAATGCTTGGGCCCAATTATTGGGAACTCGTTTTTTGTAGAAGGAGACTTCCCTTAAAGAGGATAGTAGGAGGATATGCCCCTTCATGCCTTTCGAACCATTTTCTAGCTCAGGGTTTTGGGGAAAGGAGACTCCAAGGGGTGACTCCTTCTATCCGTGGGGTTTACATTGTCCCTTCATCATAGGGCTTCCCTCCTCCATCAAAGGATGGAAGAAGATATGGTTCTGGGTGAGGGGAAAGTGACAGGTGTGTGAGAGAGACACCGTTCCTCCCTCGACAGTTCTTACTTCCTACTCAAAAGCTCATGAGTGTTTTAGCTTAAGTGGTTTGAATTCTGATATGTCTTGATCTTGCAGGCACGATTGATCGCTTCGAGCTGAACCAATTGGAGCTAGATATGGTATAGGACTCTACCTTCGCCCTTTATCTTCAAGGGAGTTCGAAAGGTTGATTGTTTTTCGACGATTCTTCGAAGAGTTCTGTCTGATGGCTCGAAGAGGTGGGCGTGTATTTTGTTTAGATATTTGCCTCATGTTTGTAAAATTTCTAACATTTCCTTTTTGGTAGAAAATTTTGAAAAGATGAGGCACCTCGCCCCAGATATGGCAACAATACCTGCCGCCACCTCCACCATCGTGAGGGAGGGCTTCAGCCCTTATCTGTTGCGACAAAGCAAATGGGGGACCAAATTGAGAAGGCCAACAGAGAGACTGCTAGCCATGAGGGGGATAGGGGACATCCCATGAAGGATAGAGGAAAAAATAAGGTGGAGAAAGTCCCCAAGAAGAAAATAATTTTGTGCCATCGAAAAGGATGGGTCGATGGCCATCCCACCACCTTGCTTCGAAGTCTCTGCTGGGGAGGAATTGATTTGCTACGGGCAAGGGGGGCTCAGAAGAGGCCAACTATAATAGAGCCCTAAAGCAAGTGTATTGGAAGAGGGCGAGGACATCAAGTGGGTTCACTGCATTTGATACAGATCTTTGCTCGAAGCTCTGCATTTCGCAACGAAGTGATGAACTGGCTTCGGAGGTTCTGTCGATGCTCCCGCCAAGAGTTCAAACGGTAACCTCTATTCTTCACAAATTCTGGACGGACTATTGGCAATCCTTCATGGAGACCAACGATTGGGTAGCCATCTCCACCACCATGGTGAACCAAACGAGGAAGGCATTTGGGGAAGCCATAGAAGCGGAGGCCCTCTTCAAAACCTTCAGAATAAAAATATAGAATTTGCAAATAAGACCTTTGATAAGTGCAATTCACTCATTGAACTATCACCTCTATGTTATGGTTTTCGGTTTGTTAGCGAGCACTTTTGAACGTTTTGATGTATGTGTTCGTGTTGTAATGTAGTTTAGATAACTTGGACAAAAATGCCATTTTTTGGAGCTTAGAATGAAGCGAAAGTGTTAATGCACGAGCAAAGGAGGCGAAGCGGTATAGGGGCGCCATGGTGTTGCAATTAGCGCCCAAGAAGACCAATAGAAGTCAGCGTGGCGCCCAACCGAGAAGACCAACAAGCACAAGTGCTGACGCTGTTAGGTGCTGAGTGCCGGCAATAGTTACCATTGCGATGTCGGCTCTGGGTGTTGCGCCGCCGCCACCTAAAAAGAGGAAAATCAGTTTTTTTTTTGTTTCGGTCCGGTCCAACTCCAACTCGTCTTGACACATTAGGGGACTAAACATACGAACTTAGAGACCTAGATGAGGGAGGACAACTTAAGGAAAAAGAAAAAAACAAGTGATCGATCGAGAGAAAGAACGACTATAAATTGGGAAAGGAATTAAAGCAACGAAATAGTTTTTCTTAATCTTTTCTTCTCTATGTTCTTTCCTTTGTATTTGATTATGTCATTCATAGCAATCAAGAACTAAACTCTAAATGTAGGATTGATGTAACCTGAGACATGTTTGGATTCTAATACAATTATTTCTATTAATTTTTTCATTAATTTATTTGTGTTGATTCATGTGTAATGCTTTCAATTACCTGATCAATAAGTGAATGATTTGATGCTTTAAATTTCGGTAATCAAGAGAGGAGATTTAGGTATGATCTAAGAACAACATAACCTAGATTTTGTGGGTTTCGAGAGAAAATATGAAATCTTTGAGGCTCATTCCATTTAAGAACCAAGTATTTTATATCTCTGTATGTTTGATTTAGAATAGAGATATTAGAATTAAAGTATAGAGATGAATTCTATTTGCACTCGATAGAGAGTAGAATTATACTAGGTTCTTGCCTATAAATTTAGTAAAAATTGATAAAAGTAACTAGAGAAGTTAAAAAGATTGCTGATAAGGTGTTGAAATCATTTCCTAGGCTTTTCTCAATTAGATAAATCTCTTATAACTTTTGTTAAATTGCTTGAACTATCATCACATACACGTTAGATTGGAATATGAATATGGATTCTAAATTTGATTTTCTAGATAAATTAAAAGCTAAAATAATTCTAGTACTCAATAGAAATTAGATAACAATCCATGTGAGTTCAACACTCTACTTCCAATTTTATATTACAAAACTTGCCAATGTTGGCAAGTTTTTTGTAGCCGTTGTCGGGGACATCAAGTGGGTCTATTGCATTTGATGCAGATCTTCGCCCGAAGCTCATCATTTCGCAACGGAGCGACGAACTAGCTCCAGAGGTTATGTCGATGCTATCGCTAGAAGTTTAAACTGTAACATCTATTTTTCACAAATTCTGGACGAACCATTGGCAGTCCTTCGTTGTGACAACGACTGGGACGTCTTCACCACTATGGTGAGCCAAACGGTGAGGGTGTTTAGGGAAGCCATAGAGACGAAGGCCCTCTTCAAAACCTTCAGAATAAAAATATGGAATTTGCAAATAAGACCTCCCAAGCCAAGGAGTCAATGAAGCTCACTTCTGTATTGGCAGAAATTGAAAATTTGAAAAAGGAGGTTCACTTGTCACACAATGAGGTGGCCTCTCTACGAAGCTAGTGGAGATGTCTGATGCCAACCGAAAGTTGGTTGCTGAGGCCCTGGAGCAAGCTAATAAAGAAAATACTGTCTTGAAATAGCAGGTATTGGGCTAAACTCTAGAATATCAGGCTTAACAGAAGTGGCAATGACGAGAAGGAAAGTTGAATATGTTGGCAGTGAGGCTGAGAAGCAATATATTACCAACTCTTGCCTCACTGAGGCATACCAAAGCTTTGCCAAATACTGGCGGAGGTATGCCTACACTGAGGTAATTGAGTGGATTGAGATGAACTCTCAAAGCTTTAACGCCTCTGAGTTAAGATTTGAGTTCTTGGAAGAGGAGGAAGAGCCTTAAACACCCATAGAGTGTAGCCACGTGATCAAAATTGAGGATGAAGCAGCTGAAGTGGCTCCTGATACCATTATGCCATTTGTACCTCCCCTCCCCCACCTATACAATATTAGGATCTTGTAATTTGTTTTTTTTTTTTTTTTTTTTTGGGTCATTGGCCTCGAAGCCCTCAATTTGTAATATTTGTTGTTTGTGAATGAAATAGATTTTTGTTACTTGCTTATCTTTACTGCCTTTTATATTCATGGATTCATAGCACTTGTAGTATTTCATTTCATCATTTGAGACTTGTTTGTAATTTGGGAAATGTCTCCTTAGACATCTTCGATTAAGGGTCACTTTAGGACCCACTACTTCGACTTCTTTAAGCTACTTCGTTAGTTAGCACGTGATCCATGTCGGGATCCACCCAATCTTTGAAGTGCCAATGCTTCCCTTCGTAAGGATGGTTCCTCTATGCAGAGGCTTCCTCCTAGACTTTTGTTAATATGAGGTAGTTATTCTTTATAGCAAAGATTTTTAACAAGGCAAAGTTTTATTTTATTTAAATAATGCATATACAAGGTTTATTTACATTATCATTGGTAGTATTTTCGTAGATGCTCTGTATGCCATAAATGAGGTTGTGCATTACCATCCATACCTTTAATTTTGTAGGTTCTTGGTCGAATCTCTTCTCTAATGCCATAAGGACCTTTCCAATTATGGCCTAGGGCTCCCCTCCTGGTCTTTAGATGATAGGAATACCTTTCGTAGCATAAGGTCTTTCAAACGAAATGACTTCTTCTTAACTTTAGGGTTATAATACTAGCCATTTTTGGCTAGTAAATAGCTAACTTTGCTTGAGATCCATCTCTCTTTCTTCAAGGAAATCTAGCTCAAGTCTTCTCAACTCGTTGTTGGATGTTTCAATAGAATATATGCGAATGGGAGAGAGACCCACCTCCATCTGACTCATAACTTTAGCTCCATAAGTCATTGAGAAGGGAATTTCTCCTGTAGTTGTCTTGTTAGTAGTTCGAATGGCCCATAAGACTTAAGACAATTCATCAATCCTAGCTCCCTTAGAAGTGTCCAATTTCCTCTTGAGGGTGTACTTGATAGTTTTATTGATAGCTTCCGCCTATCCGTTATCCCGAGGATGATGTGGGGAAGAGAAGTACTTTTTGATTCCTAACTTCTTAGATAGACTTCTGACCTTCTTGTTGTCAAATTTCCGCCCATTATCTAAAGCGACTGAAAGGAAATTTCGAACCGACATACTATATTTTTCCACAAGAATTTGGAATTATTTGCTTCTGTAATTTGGCTTTGACCCATTTTGTGAAGCATTTAATAGCGATAATTGCAAAGTTCTTCCTTTAGGTAGAGGCCCTATAAGGTTAATCCCCCATTTAGCAAATGGCCAGGGGCTAGAAACAACAATTAGCTCCTGAAAATGCTGTCTTTGAACTGTCGCAAAGCGTTGACATTTAGTCGTACCTCTTCGAAAATTGTTGTGCGTCCTTTTTTAGTGCGAGCGTCCCTGTTTCAACACCTTCTATGCTAAGGACCATCCTCCGGCATGGTTGTCACATTTCCTCTCATGTATTTCTTGAAGCACGTAGGAGGTTTGTTCACCAACTATACAAAGAAGTAAAGGCAAAGAGAAACCTCGTTTGTATAATATGTCATCCTGAAAAACAAAGTGTGCAGCTCGTCTTCTGAGCTTTCGTGCCTTCTCTTTGTCATTGGGTAGGGCTTGTCTTTGAGGAAAGCAATAATTGGCTTCATCCACGAAGAAGTATCTTTCACCTCCATTACCTCTTCAGCTTTAGCAATAGAGGGTCTAATAAGGTGTTCTATTGGGACAACTGTGAGCAGTTAGGAATCCTTGCTACTTGACAACTTCGAAAGAGCATCGACGTGAGCATTTCTGAACGTCGAATTTGTGCCAGCCCAAATTTTTCAAAGGCAAGCAATAATTCCATGATCAGTTTTAGATAAGCAGACATGCTTTTATCTTTGACCCAAAAAACTGTCATTAACTTGGTTGACCACTGGTTGTGAATCATTATTGATGACCAACCTTTTCACTTGCATCTCTATGGCTAATCTGAGGCTTGCTAGAAGGTTCCCCAGAGGAGCCGTCCATGAAGAGGCTCCATGTGGGCGTTCTGGCGGTTCCATTTCTGGTACAGGAGTAAATTCAGTCACAAAACTTCAAAGAAAGTGAGACATTTATCTATTGCCTTTGAGACAAAGTGACTCGAGGCTGCTATGCACCCAATCAAACTGTATCTCATTGGGCTTTTGAGGCAATCTCATTTCAATTAAAGCTCTGATCTTCTCTGAGTTGGCCTCAATGCCACTCTGATTGACCATATAACCTAGAAATTTCCTTGAAGCAACTCTGAAGGCACATTTAAGGAGATTAAGCCTCATCCTGTATCTCCTGAGTATGTGAAAGCTCTGTTGAGATGTTTAACATGATCTTTCATTTCAAGCTTTTCATTAGTATGTCGTCCACATACACCTCTTCTGTTTTTCTAATAAGGTCAGCAAACATCCTATTACCAACCTCTGATATGCAGTCCCCGTATTTCTCAACCCAAAGAACATCACTCTGTAGCAATATGGATCTCGATCTGTTGTAAAGGGCGTATGCTCTTCATTTATTGGGTGCATTGGGATCTGATTATAGCCTGAATAGTCATCCATGAAGCTCAACGGTTCGTGCCGAAGAATCGAATCAACAAGTTGGTCTATCTATGATAATGGAAAACTGTCTTCAGGGCATGCTTAGTTAAGATTGAAAAAATTCACACATACCCTCCATTTTCCCATTGTGCTTCTTTACTGGGATAGGTTTGTACCCACTTCGGATTGGTCAATTCTTGGATGAAGCGATTATCAATCAATGTCTTGACCTCGTCTTTCAAGGCATGAATCTTTATGGATTAAGGGCTCTCCTTTTTTGCCGATGAGGTGTAGCATTTAAATTGATCCTTGGGTGATCATTTTCAACCATGTCTTCGTGCTTCCATGCAAAGATATCGAAGTTTTCACGCAAAAAGCATTTCAACTTTTCTTGGCTGTTGTTGGCAGGTTTTTTTTTTTTACCTTCAAGAACATGGAGGGGTCCCTTCACGTAAAAAGTATTTTAGTTTTTTTGGCTGCTGTTGGCAGGTTTTTTCCAACTTGCAAGGACCTGAAGGGGTCCCAAGAATCCACTGTGAAGCTCTCTGCTCTTTGACAAGAGATGTCAGTGGCTCACAATCAATTATGCATGGATCTAGCTTGTCAAGACTTGTACTACAAAGACAATCTCTTCTTCAGGGGAATTTATCACTTCAACGTCATTCCTTTTTCAGGAATTTACCCTTGCTCAGGGTCATCGTCCTTGACCTCATCAATGTCCATTAAAACAACATTGAAGAGAGTTGGAGTAGCACTCCCTAGCACTTCTTTGGTCATCCCTGACTGTAGCTATGCCTTTTTCTATTGGGAACTTCATATATAGGTGGTGGGTGGATGTTGCAGCCTATAGCTCCTTTAAGGCTGGTCTCCCAAGTACTCCGTGATAGGGGAAGCGGTTGTCTACCACCAAGAATTCCATAAAATGATAGGCCATTAATGGTGTTGTCCCCATCTCTATTGCTAGAGTGATTTTTCCTCTTGGGAAGATATTATCACCAATGAATCCATACAAAGGAGAGTTGATGACCACCTTCCATTTTGTCAAATTGTTTCTTTATTTGATGTTGACTAAGCTTCCATTGTTTACCAACATTTACTTTGAGTTATTCCCAGCCACAACAGCTCTCACCACCAAGGCACCACAGTTTGGATAAAGCACTCCTACGGTATCCTCTTGAGTAAATGTGATGGACTGGACTCGGTCCCCAGTGGAGGGTCGGCTGCTACTAACTAAAAACTAGCCATTGGGTGTCCTTAGCTTTCCTAGCATAATTCCTTTGGGTTTTTCTAGATTCTTCCCCGACATAGGGGCTTCCAAAAACGGTGTCGATCTCTTGAGTGGGTTCGTGACTAGTGTTAGCTCGGGAGTTCCTCCTCTGTCTTTAGCCCTCTCTAAGCTTTTCGCCATCACTATTTCGCCTTCGTGAGGCATCGTCCCTGTTGGGTCACCTTGCTTCGTTGTTATTAGGCTGTCGACCTTGCCCAGGAGGGTCGTATCTTTGTGGACGCCTGTTTTTTCTTTGATTGCTAAGGTACTTTGCTATATCTCTAAAGCCAGTAGTACTATAGCTATAGGAGTGGTAGTATGTCTCATCCCTATTTTTAGGTTCAGCACCACGTCCACTGCCTCTTCCTGTTTGGAGGAAATTGTTGGTAAAGCCTTCCTTGATATGTTTCTACACTAGGGTTTACCTCCTCGTAAACTAAAGCAGGAACTGCATTCAATGTTGCTGCAGCTAATCTTGCCCTGGGTTGAGGAAGGTCGACTATCCGACCTAATAATCTATCAAGTGGGAGGTGGGACCTCTCCCTCTTTGCATCTGTGGAGGTAGAAGTCCTCGATTTTCCCTATTTTAATGATCTCTCAATTCTTTATTAATGATCTCCCTCATCATTTTTAGCAAGGCATCATAACTTATAGGTTCCTTGTTCTGTACATTTCTCTAGAAGAGAGAATTCACATCCAATCCTGATTTTAGGGTCGTTAATGCCTCCTTATCTATGATTTGCACGCAAAAGGTCATCTCGTTAGTAAAACAAGATAGGAAATTTTTGAATGAATCCCTTTGTTGCTGCTTCATATCCTGGAGGCACTGTATTGGTCATTTGCTCTCTTTACTTATGGCAAAGCGTTTAAGGAAAGCATTTTTAAAGTCTGACCAACTTCAGTTGCTTCCCTCTAGAGCCTGGTATACCATACATCAACTGCTCCACTTAGGGTTTGATGGAAGGCTCTACATTTCATGGCAGGGGTAGCTCCTTTTAAGCTCGTGTGAATTTTGAAGCTATTGAGATGCTTCGTAGGATCGCCTCTTCCATCATACTTGGGCGGAGGATTCGAAGGCATGCCAATGTCGCTTGGTTCATTGTATTTCGAAATATAATGGCCTTTGCTGCGTAGTTCTAGGCACAAAGGGAGATTGAACTTGCCTATTTCTAGGTTGCCCTGGGCTCAAACTGTCGAAGACGCTAACTAACCTGCGAGGCAAGTCTTCCAAATCATAGCTCGAAGGAAAGTTGAATAGGATCTCATGAGTTTGATCAGTGGCATAGTTGGTGGATGTATCAACCCCAACTTTCCTTACTTAAGGGGCTTCTTCCCTAGTGTGTTGTTGGTATCCAGTCATTTGTCTCTGGACCTTCTCTTCACCGTGGTAGTAATTTCCTTGTGAGGGGTCGTGAAATGCATTTTGTTGAGCTGCATAGGGAGGAATTGGGAATCCTTGCTGGCCTGCATTTCTTCAGCAGCTCATGCATTGTTGAGTTATATTCCTCACATTTGCAGTCATAGTGGCCACCTCCCTGGAGAGTCTAGTAGCTATCCTTGACCCACCTCTTGATCCTCCTCGCCTATGCTGTTTGTGGAATCGATGGTGAGCTTCTGGAGCAATGTGCAAGGGTTTCCCTTCTTCATGGTGTTCCTTGGCAAGGGACCTAGAACAAAGTAAGTGCTTCAACTGATCTCTATTTTGATTGTTAACTGATAGATGTTTGCATGTAGTGACTCCACGCGGTATCCACTGGGGGCTTAGGATATGTGATGTAACGATAATCCTTTTAAAGAAAACATTCACGGTGGTCAAAAAATAGTAGAGATTTAAGGGCGTGTTCTTGTTACCAATTATACACAAAGAAAGTGCAAGTTTTGTATATTTTAGAAAAATGAATGTAATCGTAATTGCGCACATGGGCACTTAACACTTGTATTGCTAATAATGTTAAATTTATTTAATCAAATTACCAAAAGCATCTGTCAATGCACTTCAAATATAAATAATATTTGTGATTTGAGCAGTGATAGTAAAATGATTAGAAACATTGGATCACATAGCAAATAATTGGTTTAATTAGGATTTTTTTCTCTCTCTCTCTCTCCAAAAGACCTCTTTTAGACGAGAGAGTCCAAATTATCTTTTTTCATATTGTGAAAATGTCTTTAATATCCTATTTTGATATGTGTATATCATTTTTCCAAGAATAAGACATTATTATTGTAAATATTATATCCTAATTTCAATCGATTTTAGATGTAAATACATGATTGATGCATTTTATTTATGGGAAATTTATTATTTATTTCAATTATTTCAATTAATAGAATTCGTAAATTCAAGTTTTACTGACTTGTTAATCACAAAAAGTTGTAATTATGAAATACAAGTACATATAACTGAATTTTAAATTATCTGTTATAGTAAGTAATAACAAGATAAATATATCATTATTATAGATAGATCAGCACGGTGACATTTCTCACTTATAAAATGAGTATTTAATCTCATAAATTAAAACATAGTGATACTCGAATGGATGCGTTGAAGTTTTGTTTAGATAACAAGACATCGAAGACTCTATAAAGACATTTCGCAAGGATAACTATTTGAGTGTCAATTGTTAATATCTAACGCTCAGTGGTGGAATTGGTTCTTCGACTCAAGTCATTATAATATGTTATATGAGGACAGACATAGTTTGATTATATTGGATGTTGCTATGCCAAGAGTCGTTAATACGATATCGTTAATCTATATCAAGAATTATATCAAGGTTGTAAATGATAAATAGAATATTTGTCACTCTTAGATGGAAATAGCGTACGGTCTACATTTCATCTGCTTAAATTGATATCAAAATCCTTGATCAAAATGAGTTCATAAGTTGAAAAGAATTTCAATGGTTATTGACTTAAGAGCGAGACGAAAGATATGATCTATTAATCGAAATTAATACATCTCCATATCTCATATTAATTAGATCATATTAATGAAATGATTTTATTTTCACGACAGATGAACAAGTTTGATTTTATAAAACTGCGCGACATTTTTCGTCATAGGTATTACCTTGACACATTACTAAATGTCAATCAAAATAACAGATATGAATTATTTAATATATGTGAATTAATGATAAAGTAAAAGTGAAGAATTTAATTTATCTTATGTTGATTAGATCAAAATAATTCACATCATCCGACATTGTGATAAAGAACTTAACAAATCATACGCAAAAGGCAAGAACTAGAACAAATGATATTAAGAATTAATTAATGACAAGTGTGAAATATTTGTAGAATTAATTAATTGTGTTGTTCATTTATGGGTTAAAGTTAATTAATCAAATGAATTAACTTATAAGTCAAATTTAATTAATTAGAAAAATAATTCAAGATTTCAAATCACGGACCAAAATGTTACAAAGCTTTCCTTGATTTCCAAGCTTCAAACCCCAAACATGTATTTTTCCACAAGTGATTGCGCACCAAAAAATTCCAAAATCATTTCCGGAGCAAGATTAAAATTATGCTCTTGTCGTCCCCTAGAACTATACTTGTAGGTTCTGGCCGCGCTCGTGTTTTGTCTAGAAAATGTAAATTTTGCCTTTTTTTAAATGCAATTCCTGAACTTTCATTATTAGTGCAATCTAGTCCAAGAGTTTTAAGAGGCTACTAAAGTGAATCAGTCGAACCTATATAATTTAAGCTCCAATAATTGAACAACAAACTGCCAATCTGAGATCGTCCAAAACAATTATTAGTTTTCATTCACCCCACTAATGGCGAAATTGAGAACAAATCCAAAATGTCAATAATAAAATTCATGTCCTAACACCATTGGGTGTCAATCCCAACACATATAACACTGGCT